GGTATGCTGTCTGTACCGAGGCCGCCACTGGTGCCCCCCTGTCCACGTTCCCCCGGGACCCGGTGTCCGGCCTGTTCACTCTGGACACCGTGACCCCCCCGGCTGGGGCGCCCCCTCAGGTGGCTGCGTCTACCCAAGGTGCTGCTGCCTGCTCCTGTCGGTCCCTCACTCACCCGACTCTCCTTTGGCACCACCGCCTAGGTCACCCTGCACTCCCGCGTCAGCGTCACATGTCCCAGCACGGTCTTGTCCTTGGTCTCCCAGGTTCTCTCCCCGCATTTCCCTCCTCCCCCGCCCCCCCTTGCACGCCTTGCGTCGAGGGTCGGCTCCGCCGTGCCCCTCACTCCTCCTCGTTTCCCCCTACCGCCGCGCCGCTGCAGACCCTGCACCTGGACGTCTGGGGCCCCGCCCCCGTCCCTGGGCCGCGTCGAGAGCGCTACTTCCTTGTGCTTGTCGACGACTTCACTGGTTACACCACAGTCTTTCCCCTGGAGCGCAAGGCCGACGTGCCTGGCGCTCTCATCCCCTGGCTTGTCTCTGCGCGTGTCCACCGCGGTCTCCCTGTCCTGCGTCTTCACTCCGACCGTGGTGGCGAGTTTGCCTCAGGTGTCCTTGGTCGCTTTTGTCGTGCGGAGGGCATCACCCAGACGTTCACCCTACCGGACTCCCCACAGCAGAATGGGGTCGCTGAGCGACGCATCGGTTTGGTCATGGAGGTGGCTCGCACCTCCATGATCCATGCCGGTGCACCCCATTTTCTGTGGCCGTTCGCTGTGCGCTACGCTTCTCACCAGCTTAACTTGTGGCCGCACCCTCAGCAGCCGCAGGTTTCGCCGACCCGTCTTTGGACTGGGTCTCCTGGTGACGCGTCTGCGTTCCACGTCTGGGGCTGCCTTGCTCACGTCCGTGCCTCCGGCACGGACAAGCTCACTGCCCGCACCCTTCCCTGCGTCTTCCTCGGTTTTCCCCTTAACGCGTCCGACTGGCACTTTTACCACCCGCCGTCTCACCGCTTCTTTCACTCTCGTGACGTCACCTTTGACGAGTCCGTCTCCTACTACCGTCGCTTCCCCCACCGTGGTCCCCCGGTTACCCCCCCCTGTTCCTGGTCACTCCTTCCCCGGTAGTCCCTGCCCCTCCTCCTCCTCCTCCCCGTCCCGCCCCCTCTGGTGTGTCCCACGTCACCCCCCTTCCGTCGGTGGACCCGGTTGAGGAGTCTTCTGACTCTGGTGGCCCTCCTGTTCAGTCCTCGCCGGCCGCCCCTCCCCTAGCGTCCCCTCCCTAGTCCCCCCCTCCACCGCCTCTGCCGCCGCTGCAGCCGTCGTTGTCGCTGCCGCCGCCGCCGCCGTCGCCGTCGCAGCACCCATTCGCTGACTCTGGGGGTGCTCGTCCCAGTAGCCCTGGGGGTGGTCCCTCTGGGGGTGCTGGTGTGGAGAGTGCCGGTAGTAGCCGAGGAGCAGCTTGCGGTCCCGGTGTAGCCGTTGTGCCGCCGCAACAGCAGTCCCCGCCGGTGTCAGCCCTTCGCCTGCTCGGCCTTCCGTCCCCCGACCCTGCGTCGGTTCCTCCCCGGCCGTCTCCTCCTCTTCCTGTCTACGGCCCTGTCTTCCCTCCGCCGGACTCGTCCCCGGCCCGTCTTCCCCCTCGTTCCCCTCCTGGGTCCCCTCCTCTGTCCCCTGACCCGACTCCTCCGTCGCACGTCTGGTCTCACCGTCCCTCCCGTGCTCGTCCTGCCTCGCCTGTCTTGCGCTCCCACCCTATGTTGCTTCGTTCTCACGCGTCTCGTCCTCCTCTTCTGCCGTCGCCTCCTCCGTCCTCCCTTGTTGTTGCACCCCCCCCGCTGTCTGACTACCTTCGTGCTGCTCGTCCCCTTGTTCCTCGGGTCCTTGCCTCTCTCGTTACCGACCCGTCTGTTCCGGCCTCGTGCCTTGACGCTCTTGTCGCTGCTGTCGCTGACTTCGCCTCTACCCGCCGCCTTGACTACGCCACAGCTCTGGTCTCTGACCCTGCCTGTCCTCCGTCTGTCGGGGGTGCTCCTGCCCTTGGCAGTGACGTCCTGGAGGACCGCCAGTTCGAGCTTGCTTTTCTCTCCGAGGCTGCTCCCCATCTCTGTTCCATGCTGCTAGTCCCTGAGGGTGACCCAGACGCTTTCGACATCCCGGCCCCTCGCACTTACGCTGAGGCGACTTCGGGACCCTGGGCCTCGCAGTGGATAGCTGCCATGGAGCAGGAGATGGCATCTTGGAGATCCACCGGCACCTTCGTCGACGCAGTTCCCCCACCTAGGGTGAACGTAGTCGATGGCCGCTGGCTCTTCAAGGTGAAGCGCCCTCTTGGAGAGCCGCCTGTCTTCAAGGCGCGCTATGTGGCTAGAGGCTTCAGTCAGCGCGAGGGGGTGGACTTCTTCCAGACCTTTGCTCCGACCCCGAAGATGACTACTCTTCGGGTTCTGTTACACCTAGCTGCTCAGCGTGACTACGAGCTTCACTCCCTCGACTTCTCCACTGCCTTCCTTCAGGGCAGCCTACACGAGCAGGTCTACCTGCGTCGCCCTCAGGGCTTCACTGGCACCTTCCCTCCTGGGACCCAGTGGCTCCTGCGGCGCCCCGTCTACGGCCTGCGCCAGGCTCCCCGTGAGTGGCACGACACGCTGCGTGCTACGCTTGCTGACCTGCAGTTCTTTCCGTCTTCCGCAGACCCTTCACTCTTCGTTCGTGCTGGCCAGACTCCGTTCTACATCCTTGTTTACGTCGACGACCTGGTCTTTGCCACAGCAGATAGGGACGCACTGGCCTCCGTGAAGGCAGAGCTGCTGAAGAGACACACGTGCACTGACCTTGGAGAACTGCGCCGCTACCTTGGCTTGCAGATCTCCAGGGACAGAGCATCGCGCACCATCATCCTGACTCAGTCACACTTGGTGCGCCAGGTCCTTCAGAGGTTCAGCCTTCAGTTCTCCTCTGCACAGCCCACCCCTCTGCCTGTAGACCACAGACTCTCCGCTCCAGTGTCTGAGGAGCTGGTAGAGCCCAGCGGCCCCTACGCAGAGCTGGTGGGTTGCCTCATGTACCTGATGACTTGCACTCGCCCAGATCTCGCATACCCTCTCAGCATCCTGGCTCGCTTTGTGGCCACAGGCAGACACCGACCGCAGCACTGGTCTGCCGCTAAGAGGGTTCTGCGTTATCTTGCTAGTACATCGGGCATGGGGTTAGTGCTAGGAGGACGCAGGTAAGTGGTCCTTACTGGACACACAGACGCTTCGTGGGCAGACGACGCTGAGACACTCAGGTCTACCCAGGGCTACTGCTTCAGCCTTGGCTCAGGTGCCGTCTCGTGGAGAGCTACTCGCTCCTCGTCTGTTGCGCAGTCCAGCTGTGAGGCTGAGATCTACGCTGGTGCCACGGCGGCACAGGAGCTCCGCTGGCTGACCTTCTTGCTCACTGACTTAGGTGAGCGGCCTAGCTCTGCCCCGGTCCTGTTCGCTGACAACAGGGCCATGATCCTCCTGTGTCAGGAGCCTTGACTCGAGGGCAGAGCAAAGCACATTCAGCTGCGGTACTTTCTCCTCCGTGAGCTACAGCAGCGACGCCAGGCTCGTGTAGTACACTTGGCCTCCGGTGCCAACACAGCTGATATCTTTACGAAGGCGCTTGCGCCTAAAGTTCATCAGCGGCACTGTGTACAGCTTGGTTTAGTTCCTGTAGCCTCTCACTTGCTAGGGCCTTGACTTTGTACTGTCCTTTATATGTGTACTCAGACTGGACTTGTGTCCTCTTCCAGTGGCTGGACTAGTAGTGCCGCCCTGGCCTTGTTCTTGCCTTGTCTGTACTCCTTCTGACTGGTCTTTTAGACCCTTGTCTCAGAGGTTGGACTAGTAGTGCCGCCCTGAGCTGCTTGTTTAGGACATTCCCCTATGCAGTCTAGGGGGTGTGTCAAACATGTGTAGTTGGTATGTTTGTGTAGACTGTATAGGGTCACCTCTTAGAGGGTACAATTCTTAGGTATATCTCTCTGTACTCTCTCACTAGCCAATAATTCACTTGTCAATTCTGATAAGTCGGCCCCCGCAAGGACCTCGAGTTTCGCTGGTGGTCCAAGTCAGCGACTTCGCTGGTGATGCACAGCGGTTACCAGGATCGTTCGCTGGGTTCGCGACTGGATACAACCGCAGGTTTATTTTGACACATTCGAGTTCTCGCCACGACCTCGGCTGTGCGCGGAAAAGGTGTCCAGACCGGGACTGGTATATTATACCAGTATAACGCCTCGCTACCCATTGGGTCAAAACGAGGTTACCCAGAGGCGCAGCGGAATGCATTTACAATCTCTAGGGTGTTTTTACGTCCGCAGACGTTACTCTTGCTGCAACGCTGTCCATTTCCACATTAGGCGTTCCACGCCTTAAAGCCGGCGACTACATTTGAGGGGGTTCGTGGTGTAGCTTTAGGATTTGTCGGCCTGGTATTGCGTGATTGGCTTACGAGAGAGGCGATACTGGAAAACTGACGACAGAGTATGCGGACTTCGCAAGCATCGAGAAGTGGGAGTTGCAAGATTGGAGGGGGGAAGGAAATTTTAGGGGGAGGGGATCGAAATTTGGGGAGAGGGGGGAGGGGGGGATCATAATTGGAGGGGGAGGGGGAATCGAAATTGGACGGGGAAAAGGGGAATCGCAATTGGAGGGGGAGGGGGAATCGCGATTGGAGGGGGGAGGGGGGAATCGCAATTAGAGGGGGAGGGGGAATCGCAATTGGAGGGGGAGGGGAATCGAAATCCTGGGGTGAGCCAAATCTGTACACAATTGTGATCGAGGCCAGATTCAAATGTTTTTTTAAAGGTTTGGGCGAGTTAGCGGCAAAGTAGCTCAGTCCATCAGGTTACCTCCTTTCAAATGTTTTTAATTTGAAAACAGCAACCACAAATGTAGACGCGGGCTGTAATGAATCTCCGCCAAAATAATTTCACGCCCGTAGAAGGCGTCCACACCCTCGGCTGTTAGGCGACGAGAAGCATGCACGTAGTGTTTGGATTTTAGTGGAGGCGACATGGCTGGAACACCCAGACATGCCTCTAGACAAGCTCTTCATGCTCCCATCGCTCCCACGCTTTTAGAATCTAATGGCAGAGGCGTTCGAAGCCATCGGCTTGTAGAAGAAGAGCAGGAGTCCGATCAGAGAAGCATGCACGTCTCTGGCGGTGGATCGGCGTGGGAAAGGGGGCTTGGTTTCCTCCTGGGATCTCCTTAAAGCCCCCCCCCCCCCCTCCCCCCCCAAAAAAAAGGCTGCCACGTGGCGGGATTGTAGTGCGAGGCGCGCTATGGCGGGAAATTTAAGACGCCGCGCAATTCCCCTGCTCCCGGACCGCTGCCACGGCCAGCCACGCCGCGCCGCGCTTTGGCCATAAAAGCCATGTCCGCGCGAGCATTGATGTATCCCGCTGGATTGGTTTGGACAGGGTGTGTTGTGCAGAGGCCTCGTTCACTTCTGTTGCAACCAGTCACTGCCCAGGTTCCGCCTCTGTAGCAGTGCTACTAGTAGTAGCGCACCTCCCGATTTCCAGAAGAGGTAACTTCCGTTGTGCTGCTGACCGTCAGCATCGAGCCACCGCCGACTCGGCCCGATGGCGCCTGGACCCTACCACGCCGCCCCCGGAGCGTCACGCCAAGAACCGCCGCAGGCTGCGACGGGGCACGCAATCCGCCTGGCGTACAGGGACGAGGAGAGCGGCGAGTTTAAGATGGACCCCGCGGCCGTGGTGGCGCTGAAGCAAGTGAGAGGACCCATCGGGGTGGTGGTGGTGTGCGGACGCGCGAGGCAGGGGAAGAGCTTCTTGCTTAACCAGGTGGGTGGGGGAAGATCTGCGCTCCTGTTACTCCTTGCATGCTCTTGGGTGGGTGGCTGCTCCTGTTCGCTTCTGTTTTTTTTTCCCTTGGCTCTTGTCGTCTCCTTTCGTCCATTTTCTTTGTACAATATTTTCAGGTCCAATTCTTCCGAATCTCCTTTCAACCCTTAGTTGCTCCAATCTTCTCGTTCTCTTATCTCCGTCTTTCAGCTGCTGGGTCGCAGCAGCGGCTTCAAAGTGGGCCCCACCCAGAAGCCATGCACCAAGGGCTTGTGGATATGGAGCTCGCCCATTAGGGTCAGGGCAGCTGATGGGTCCCCGTACGACCTGCTGATGCTCGACACCGAGGGCATCGACGCCTGTGATCAGACGGTGAGTCTGTTTTAACGGCCAGGGTTTCGTGCCCCGGGGCCTCAGGGTTTCTGTCCGCCCTTAGGGTTTCCGTGCCCTCGGGCCTTGGGGTTGCTGTCCGCTCTTCAGCCCTGACTTCCTAACCTCCTCTGCGTCTCATCTCCTTTGTTCTTTCCCTGCTCCTGCCGTGTCTGCAGGGCACCTACAGCATGCAGATATTTTCCTTGGCCGTGCTGCTGTCGTCCCTCTTTGTGTACAACCAGGTGAGATGGCAGGGAAAGGTGAGATGGGATGGCAGACAGGTGGGGTAGTTCTGTGCAGAGTATGCGAGGAACGTATGTGTCTTTATGTATGTGTGTCTTTATGTGTGTCTTTTATGTGTGTCTTTTATGTGTGTCTTGATGTGTGTCTTGTCTTTATGTGTGTCGTGGTTTTCCACCTACCGTCGCTTCCGCGTACCGTGTTTCTGCATGTCATGTGTTTCTCTATGTTCCTCCGCATGTCATGTGTTTCTCTATGTTCCTCCGCATGTCTCTGTCCTGAATCCTGCATGTCATGTGTCGTCCATGTGTGCGGCTGCTGCAGATGGGAGGCATTGACGAGTCGTCCATCGACCAGCTCTCCATGGTCACAGAGATGGCCAAGCACATCCAAGTGCACACACAATCAGCCAGTGGTGCTGCGTCTCCCACCTTCTTCTGGGTCATTCGGGTGAGGTGGTGTGGTAGACATATGCTCGTCCTCTTTGTTTTATTCCTGTCCCTCATCCAACTATTCCTGTCCCTCATCCAACTATTCCTGTCCCTCATCCAGCTATTCCTGTCCCTCATCCAACTATTCCTGTCCCTCATCCAGCTATTCCTGTCCCTCATCCAGCTATTCCTGTCCCTCATCCAGCTATTCCTGTCCCTCATCCAACTATTCCAGTCCCTCATCCAACTATTCCTGTCTCGCCCCCATTCGCCCCCCTGTCAGGACTCTTACTTGTCTCTCAAAGAGAACGGGCGTACCATCTCCCCTGGGGAGCACCTTGAAAGTATACTGCAGCTTACTGAGGACATCTCTGAAGCTGGAAGGGTTAAGAACCAGGTGGGTGCTGGTAATTGCCTTGGGTGGATGTTCTTCTATCCCCAGCACTTCTTCCACTCGCGTACAATCCAGTTTAAGACCATTGTTTGCTGCCTCAGCAAGAGCACCTCTGCTTTCATATGGATTGAAAAGAAGCTCCTCCTGCACACCCCAACTTCTTTCTCCCGGTCCCCAGACCCGTGAGGCGATCCGCTGGCTCTTCCCCGACCGATACTGCTACACTCTCAGCCGCCCGGCTGATGAGGAGCTGCTGGAGCAGTTGGATCAGTTGCCTGTGAGTGTCAATCTCCTCCCTGCTGGTGATGTCTCTTCCTCTCCATCTATTTCTTCCTCTCCATCTCTCTCTTCCTCTCCATCTCTCTCTTCCTCTCCATCTCTCTCTTCCTCTCCATCTCTCTCTTCCTCTCCATCTCTCTCTTCCTCTCTTCCTCTCCATCTCTCTCTTCCTCTCCATCCATCCATCTCTCTCTTCCTCTCCATCCATCCACCTCTCCCTTCCCCTCCATCCATCCACCTCTCCCTTCCCCTCCGTCCATCCACCTCTCCCTTCCCCTCCACCTCTCCCTTCCTCTCCATCCATCCACCTCTCCCTTCCCCTCCGTCCATCCACCTCTCCCTTCCCCTCCGTCCATCCACCTCTCCCTTCCCCTCCGTCCATCCACCTCTCCCTTCCTCTCCCTCCCTCCACCTCCCCCTTCCTCTCCCTCCATCCACCTCCCCCTTCCTCTCCCTCCATCCACCTCCCCCTTCCTCTCCCTCCATCCACCTCCCCCTTCCTCTCCCTCCATCCACCTCCCCCTTCCTCTCCCTCCATCCACCTCCCCCTTCCTCTCCCTCCATCCACCTCCCCCTTCCTCTCCCTCCATCCACCTCCCCCTTCCTCTCCCTCCATCCACCTCCCCCTTCCTCTCCCTCCATCCACCTCCCCCTTCCTCTCCCTCCATCCATCTCCCTTCCTCTCCCTCCATCCACCTCTCTCTTCCTCTCCCTCCATCCACCTCTCTCTTCCTCTCCATCCATCCACCTCTCTCTTCCTCTCCATCCATCCACCTCTCTCTTCCTCTCCATCCATCCACCTCTCTCTTCATTCCATCCATCCACCTCTCTCTTCCTCTCCATCCATCCACCTCTCTCTTCCTCTCCATCCATCCACCTCTCTCTTCCTTCCTCCCCATCCATCCACCTCTCTCTCCCTTCCTCCCCATCCATCCACCTCTCTCTCCCTTCCTCCCCATCCATCCACCTCTCTCTCCCTTCCTCCCCATCCATCCACCTCTCTCTCCCTTCCTCCCCATCCATCCACCTCTCCCTTCCTCCCCATCCATCCACCTCTCCCTCCCTCTCCATCCATCCATCTCTCCCTCCCTCTCCATCCATCCATCTCTCCCTCCCTCTCCATCCATCCATCTCTCCCTCCCTCTCCATCCATCCTTCTCTCCCTCCCTCTCCATCCATCCTTCTCTCCCTCCCTCTCCATCCATCCTTCTCTCCCTCCCTCTCCATCCATCCTTCTCTCCCTCCCTCTCCATCCATCCTTCTCTCCCTCCCTCTCCATCCATCCTTCTCTCCCTCCCTCTCCATCCATCCTTCTCTCCCTCCCTCTCCATCCATCCTTCTCTCCCTCCCTCTCCATCCATCCTTCTCTCCCTCCCTCTCCATCCATCCTTCTCTCCCTCCCTCTCCATCCATCCTTCTCTCCCTCCCTCTCCATCCATCCTCCTCTCTCTTCCTCTCCATCCATCCTTCTCTCTTTTCCTCTCCATCCATCCTTCTCTCTTTTCCTCTCCATCCATCCTCCTCTCTCTTCCTCTCCATCCATCCTCCTCTCTCTTCCTCTCCATCCATCCACCTCTCTCTTCCTCTCCATCCATCCACCTCTCTCTTCCTCTCCATCCATCCACCTCTCTCTTCCTCTCCATCCATCCACCTCTCTCTTCCTCTCCATCCATCCACCTCTCTCTCCCTTCCTCCCCATCCATCCACCTCTCTCTCCCTTCCTCCCCATCCATCCACCTCTCTCTCCCTTCCTCCCCATCCATCCACCTCTCTCTCCCTTCCTCCCCATCCATCCACCTCTCTCTCCCTTCCTCCCCATCCATCCACCTCTCTCTCCCTTCCTCCCCATCCATCCACCTCTCTCTCCCTTCCTCCCCATCCATCCACCTCTCCCTCCCTCCCTCTCCATCCACCTCTCCCTCCCTCCCTCTCCATCCATCCACCTCTCCCTCCCTCTCCATCCATCCATCTCTCCCACCCTCTCCATCCATCCATCTCTCCCACCCTCTCCATCCATCCATCTCTCCCTCCCTCTCCATCCATCCATCTCTCCCTCCCTCTCCATCCATCCATCTCTCCCTCCCTCTCCATCCATCCATCTCTCCCTCCCTCTCCATCCATCCATCTCTCCCTCCCTCTCCATCCATCCTTCTCTCCCTCCCTCTCCATCCATCCTTCTCTCCCTCCCTCTCCATCCATCCTTCTCTCCCTCCCTCTCCATCCATCCTTCTCCCCCTCCCTCTCCATCCATCCTTCTCCCCCTCCCTCTCCATCCATCCTTCTCCCCCTCCCTCTCCATCCATCATTCTCTCCCTCCCTCTCCATCCATCCATCTCTCTCTTCCTCTCCATCCATCCATCTCTCTCTTCCTCTCCATCCATCCATCTCTGTCATGACTGGGTCTTTCTTCCTCCTCCCCTACTCACTTCCCATCACCCATGTCCTGTGTTGTTTCTCCAGTGCGCATGAGCTTATGCTTCAGTTCGGGCAGGCCATTCGCTTGCCATACACCTCTATCTCCTCCCCATGTCTCTGCAGACAGAGAGAACATCTGCAGCCTGAACTCTTGGCAGGGCATGGATGCCTCTAAGCTGCAGAAAGGGAGTGGAAGTAATGGAAAGAGGATGTACTGTCATGACTGGCTCTTTCTTCCTCCTCCCCTACTATGCGCGCCCTTTCTCTGCACTCTCCTTCGTCGCATGCCCTTTCTCTACACTCTCCTTCGTCGCACACCTTTTTTTGCACCTTACTTTCGCAGGTGCACCAGATGAAGCCCAAATTCAGGAAGGGCATGGTTCGCTTTCAGTACGGCAGTAATGACACATGCTCGGCCCAGGAGGTTGGGCTAATGACACATGGAAACTGGGCCTTTCTTCCTCCTCCTCTACTTTCCCCTCGCCTTCTTCCTCCACTTCCCCCTCCCCGTCTGCCCCCGTTCCGTTCTCCGCACCTTTCCCTCGCAGGCGGACCGGCTGAAGGAAAAGTTCAGGGAGGGTATGAATGCCTTAAGCGCGGCAGTGTTTGCACACGCTCTTCCCAAGAGGGTGGATGGTTCTGTCATGACTGGCCCCCTGCTGGCAGCCCTCGCTCAGAAGTACCTGGACGCCCTCAACCATGGAGCTGTGCCCACCATCCTTGACTCCTGGCAGGTGAGTTTGTGAGATTGTGAGTTCGTCCGTAATCAGGTGTGACATTTTAAAGAGGTGAGTTTGTGAGCTTGTAATCAGATGTGTGTGTGTCCCCGCACGCGTGTTGTGCGCGTTGGGTTGCACACGTACTCGCTTGTGTGCCACGGATTACCTGGACGCTCTTAATTGCAGGGCTGTCTCCATTATCCTTAACTCGTGGCAATTGCAATTCCACGCAGGTAAGGAATCACGTTTTGCAATTTCACGCAATTTCACGTTTTGCAGCCTGCTGCGCTCTTTGCTACCAAGATATAAAATCCCGCCAGCCCCCCCCCCCCCCCCCCCCCTCCCCCCCCTCCCCACCCACTGCTTTGTTTTTCTACAAATCCGCCCTGTTCCAAATGAGTCATTCCCCTCCGTCCTGTTCCACACCCTCTGCTCCGTTCCCACCCCCCCTCCCCCCACACCCTCTGCTCCGTTTCCCCCCCACCTCCCCCCACACCCTCTGCTCCGTTTCCCCCCCCACCTCCCCCCACACCCTCTGCTCCGTCCCCCACACCCTGTTCCATTCCCAGTCTGTGGAGGAGACTGAGTGCTGCAAGGCTTATGAAATGGCCCTGAACACCTTTCGTGGGGAATTTGATGCGCGGACCTCCAATAAGGTATGCATAGCCTGTCATGTGCGAGTGTAAGTAGTTTTTAAGAAGTCTCAAAAACTACGCATAGCCTGATATGTGCGAGTGTTTCATTCTGTTGTTTTGAAGTGGCTGCTTCTTTTCCCGTGTTTTTGTGTTTGTTTCTGTCACTGCATCCTACCTCCCTCCACTCTTCCCCCCCCCTCCCTCCCCCCCTCCTACCCCTCCCACCCCCTTAGAGGGAGTTGAGGGCGAGGTACCAGGCAGTGCTGGAGCAGACGCTTCAAAAATATTCACCTCCCTTTCTTACCTCTTCTCCTCGTCCGCTCTTCTCCCCTCCCATCCCCTTAGACAAAGTTGACGGTAAGCTACGAGGCAGTGCTGCAGGCAGCAATGGCAGTGTACCAGGAGCAGGCAGTGGGGGAGGGACATGCGAAGGTCAAATACGAGGGAAAACTGAAGCTGGAAATGGGCAAGATTTTCGAGGTACAGGTGTATGAGTTGGTGTACTTGAGTGCAGCAATCTGCAACATCTTGGGCGTGTGAATATTGCCATGATCAAGTAGTTGTTATGTTATCCACCAAATGTTTCCGTTGTGTATCTCACAACCGTGTTGGCGTTCTGAACATTTCTGAACACGTCTTTCTGTTGTTCCTCTATCTGTTATGTCACCAGTCCAGACTGTCTCTTCCCCTTCCGTGCCGTGACTATCTTGCATGCGACAGGCTGCCAAGGCTGCACTGGAATCGCAGTGTAGCCTGCGACAGGAGCGGCTGGCGAGAGAAGAAGAGACCCAACGTGCAGAAAGGGAAAGGGAAGCCCGGGAGGCAGCGGAGAAAAATGCACGAATTGCTGGAGAGAGGGTGAGAGAGGAAGTTGCAGGAAGGCAGAAAGAGAGGGAGGCCCGGGAGACAGCGGAGAGGAATGCACGAATTGCTGGAGAGAGGGTGAGAGAGGAAACTGCAGGAAGGCAGAAAGAGAAAGATGAAGCTGCAGAGAGGGAGAGAAAGATGCAAGAAATTGTACTGAAGGAGAGGTGGGAGAGGGAGAGGGAGAGGGAAAGGGAGAGGGAGAGGGAAAAGGAGGGGGAGAGGGAAAGGGAAAGGGAGAGGGAGAGGGAAAGGGAAGCAAACACTATTGGAGCAATTACAGGACAGGTGTTTGGAGTGATCACCCTCGGTGCTACTGCAGCGGCTGGTGTACTTGCAGCTCCAGCAGTGCTAACAGCAGCTGCTGTTGGTACTGCTGCAGGTCTTGTGGCTAAAAAAATTGCACATGGTTGATGAAATAGTGCAACTGGCTGTGATGATGGTGTGTTGAATTGAAGTGAATGAAGAAACAGGAGTACAGGTTAAATATACCTGCTGTACTCTCTAAGGCATGAGTTTATCTAGTCTGTTGGGCTGAGATAAGCCCTTATGATCTTTTCAGAGAATAAGTCCCAGTTGTACAGGATGCTTGAGTAGTGCAGCGGAAGTTTGAGTAGTTGAACCCTTTGTCAAACATGTGTACTTGCCATGTTTGTATAGACTGTATAGGGTCACCTCTTAGAGGGTACAAGACTTAGGTATATCTGTGTGTACTCTCACTCTATCAATAACACATTCTTCAGTTCTAAGATGGTATCAGCAGTAGGTAGGTCCCACCGCCCTCCCACGCTTCCGCCCTAGGATCTACCCCCGTGTGTCGCGCCCCCTAGGCCCCGTCGCGTCACCTAGGACCAGTCGCGCCCCCCCCTGGGCCCGTCGCGCCCCCCTGGGCCCCGTCGCGTCACCTAGGACCTGTCGCGCCCCCCCCCTGGGCCCGTTGCATCCCCTGGGCCCTGTCACGCCCCCCTGGGCCCCGTCACGCCCCCTGGGCCCCGTCACGCTCCCCTGGGCCCGTCGCGCCCCCCCTGGGCCCCATCACGCCCCCCTGGGCCCCGTTGCGCCCCTTGGGCCCCGTCACGCTCCCCTGGGCCCGTCGCGCCCCCTAGCACCCGTCACGCCCCTCCTGGGCCCCCACGTTGGTGCCTCCTGGCCCTGTCGCGCGACTCCTAGCCCGTCGCGCCTTACCTAGCCTGTCGCGCCTTTCCTAGCCTGTCGCGCTTCCTAGTCCGTCGCGCCCGCCCCTCGACCGTCCCAGCCGGCCCCGCGACCGTCCCAGCCGGCCCCGCGACCGTCCCAGCCGGCCCCGCGACCGTCCCAGCCAGCCCCGCGACCGTCCCAGCCGGCCCCGCGACCGTCCCAGCCGGCCCCGCAACCGTCCGAGCCGGCCCCGCGACCGTCCCAGCCGGCCCCCGCGACCGTCCCAGCCAGCCCCGCGACCGTCCCACCCGGCCCCGCGACCGTCCCAGCCGGCCCCGCGACCGTCCCAGCCGGCCTCGCGACCGTCCGAGCCGGCCCCGCGACCGTCCCAGCCGGCCCCGCGACCGTCCCAGCCGGCCCCGCGACCGTCCCAGCCGGCCCCGCGACCGTCCCAGCCGGCCCCGCGACCGTCCCAGCCGGCCCCGTGCCCCTCCCAGCCGGCCCTGCACCTGTTCCAGCCGGCCCCGTCGCACCCGTCCGGCCCCGTCGCACCCGCCCGGCCCCGTCGCACCAGCCCGGCCCCGTCGCACCCGCCCGGCCCCATCGCACCGCCCGGCCCCGTCGCACCAGCCCGGCCCCGACGCACCCGCCCAGCCCCGTCGCACCGGCCCGGCCCCGTCGCACCCGCCCGGCCCCGTCGCACCAGCCCGGCCCCGTCGCGCCCGCCCGGCCCCGTCGCACCCGCCCGGCCCCGTTGCACTGGCCCGGCCCCTGCGCTCGTCCCTGCCCCGGCACCGGTCCTCCTCACCGGTACGGTTTCTCCCCCCCCCCCCCTGCACTGCCCTGCACCGTACTGCCCCGCACTGCACCGCCCCTCACCACCCTGTACTGCCTGGCACCGCACTGCACCGCACTACACCGCACTGCACCGCACTGTACCGCACGGCACCGCCCTCCACCTTGCTGCACTGCCCTGCACCGCATTGCACTGTTCCTGATGGCGGCGGAGCTTCGCTTCGACGCTGAAGGCCAGCCTCTGGAGTTCAAGGCGTGGCTTGCCGACCTCCGCCGCCAACTCACTGGCCAGCGGCAGGATGGCGAACCGCTTTCCGCACACCTTGACGGTACGCTCCCCTGCCCAGACCCCCCTGCTATTTTGCCTGCTGACTCCACCCCCACTGAGCGCGAGTCTACTGCTGCCACTGCCCGTGCGCGCTCTGTCTGGCTTTCTTGCAGTGCTGTCGCCCAGCTTGCCATTAGCAACGCCCTTCCCCCGTCCGAGCGCCCTCGCTTTAGGTCCCTCACCACTGCTCAGGCATACTTAGATGCTGTCATCCAGCGCTATTCCACCCCTCCGGCTGCCTCGGTGGGTCGCCTGATCCTCCCGATGCTCTTTCCTGACCTTGCATCTTTCCCCACTGTCTCTGACCTCGCTGCCCACCTGCGCTCGATAGATGAGACCTGGCGCGCTGCCTGCACTGACGCACAGCTTAGAGCCCACCAGCCGCCCATTACCTCTACCCTCTACCTGCTTGCCACCCGCCTCCCTGACCGCCTTGCTGTCGCCCGCGACCGCTTCCTTAGCATTCACCCCGCAGACCTCACCCTCACTGACTTTGTAGACACCCTGACTGTGATAGAGACCCGTCACCGCTCCATCGCCCAGGCGAGCGGTGTTGTGCCTGTCCCTATCTTTCAGGGTTGTGCCCCCGCCTAGTGTACCTTCTCCGACGGCTCTGTCGCAGTGGCTGAGACTGCTGCTGCAGCGCAGTTTCGTTCGGGGAAGGGCCGCCGCCCCAAGGTTGGGCGCGGCGGAGGCGGCGGCGGGGGTGCGGGAGGGGGTAGTGGTGGGGTCGGGTCGTCTGGTGCTGGAGCGGACGAGGGGACCCTGCCCAGTCCAGCTGAGCCGCCGCCCCTGCAGTTGCAGCAGCCGCAGCAGTCGCCGCAGTCGCAGTCGTCGCAGCAGCCGCCGCAGCCGTCGCAGACGCGGCAGACGAGTGTCCTCCCGCCCGGGTGGCCCGGCGCTGGCGGTGGCCGGGCGCGTAGTGGTGCGTCAAGTGGTAGCTCTGGCGGCGGGCGCTGTCAGTACCAGATCCAGACCGGTCCTCGCCGCGGCTTCGTTTGCGGTAAGATCAGTCACTCCACTCCCCGCTGTTTTCGTCGCCTGGACGACCTCTTTCGTCAGTGCTTCGGCCCGTCGCCAGACCTCCCGGACTGGCACAGTTTGCTTAGTCGTAAGATTCAGATCTTTGATATGGACATGGATGCCATTGTTTCTGCTCTGCATGTGATGTATGCTGATGACTCCAGTGTGCTTCCAGCTTATTACTCACTGTTGCCTAGTGTAGGTGTGCCTAGCGTAGCCTCCCCTGCTGCGTCAGGCGTAGGATCCCCTGTCTTGTGTAGTCTTGGTGCTTCCGCCGTCGTTCCGTCGCCAGCCGCCTCTGCTTCGCTTTCCTTCACCTTGGACTCTGGCGCTTCTCGGTGTTTCTTCCGCGACTCCACCACCCTGACGCCGCTTCCTGTTCCTGCTGCCGTTTCTCTTGCTGACCCCTCCGGCGGCCCGGTAGTCGCCCGCAGTTCCACCACCCTTCCCTGTCCGGCGGTTCCTTCGGGCTCTCTTACAGGTCTGCATATCCCCTCGTTCTCCAGGAACCTAGTTGGTGTCGGCTGCCTCCAGGACCTTGGCGTCACCACTACGTTCCCTAGTCACGAGCGGTATGCTGTCTGTACCGAGGCCGCCACGGGTGCCCCCCTGTCCACGTTCCCTCGGGACCCGGTGTCCGGCCTGTTCACTCTGGACACCGTGACCCCCCCGGCTGGGGCGCCCCCTCAGGTGGCTGCGTCTACCCAGGTTGCTGCTGCCTGCTCCTGTCGGTCCCTCACTCACCCGACTTTCCTTTGGCACCACCGCCTAGGTCACCCTGCGCTCCCGCGTCTGCGTCACATGTCCCATCACGGTCTTGTCCTTGGTCTCCCAGGTTCTCTCCCCGCGTTTCCCTCCTCCCCTGCCCCCCCTTGCACGCCTTGTGTCGAGGGTCGGCTTCGCCGTGCCCCTCACTCCTCCTCGTTTCCCCCTACCGCCGCGCCGCTACAGACCCTGCACCTGGACGTCTGGGGCCCCGCCCCCGTCCCTGGGCCGCGTCGAGAGCGCTACTTCCTTGTGCTTGTCGACGACTTCACTCGTTACACCACAGTCTTTCCCCTGGAGCGCAAGGCCGACGTGCCTGGCGCTCTCATCCCCTGGCTTGTCTCTACGCGTGTCCACCGCGGTCTCCCTGTCTTGCGTCTTCACTCAGACCGTGGTGGCGAGTTTGCCTCAGGTGTCCTTGGTCGCTTTTGTCGTGCGGAGGGCATCACCCAGACGTTCACCCTACCGGACTCCCCACAGCAGAATGGGGTCGCTGAGCGACGCATCGGTTTGGTCATGGAGGTGGCTCGCACCTCCATGATCCATGCCGGTGCACCCCATTTTCTGTGGCCGTTCGCTGTGCGCTACGCTTCTCACCAGCTTAACTTGTGGCCGCACCCTCAGCAGCCGCAGGTTTCGCCGACCCGTCTTTGGACTGGGTCTCCTGGTGACGCGTCTGCGTTCCACGTCTGGGGCTGCCTTGCTCACGTTCGTGCCTCCGGCACGGACAAGCTCACTGCCCGCACCCTTCCCTGCGTCTTCCTCGGTTTTCCCCTTGACGCGTCCGACAGGCACTTTTACCATCCGCGGTCTCACCGCTTCTTTCACTCTCGCGACGTCACCTTTGACGAGTCCGTTTCCTACTACCTTCGCTTCCCCCACCGTGGTCCCCCGGTAACCCCCCCCCTGTTCCTGGTCACTCCTTCCCCGGTAGTCCCTGCCCCTCCTCCTCCTCCTCCCCGTCCCGCCCCCTATGGTGTGTCCCACGTCACCCCCCTTCCGTCGGCGGACCCGGTTGAGGAGTCCTCTGACTCTGGTGGCCCTCCTGTGCAGTCCTCGCCGGCCGCCCCTCCCCCGGCGTCCCCTCCCCAGTCCCCTCCTCCACCGCCTCTGCCGCCGCTGCAGCCGTCGTTGTCGCTGCCGCCGCCGCCGCCGTCGCAGCCCCCGTTCGCTGACTCTGGGGGTGCTCGTCCCGGTCGCCCTGGGGGTGGTCACTCTGGGGGTGCTGGTGTGGAGTGTGCCGGTGGTAGCCGAGGAGCAGCTTGCGGTCCAGGTGTCGCCGTTGTGCCGCCGCAGCAGCAGTCCCCGCCGGTGTCAGCCCTTCGCCTGCTCGGCCTTCCGTCCCCTGACCTTGCGTCTGTTCCTCCCCGACCGTCTCCTCCTCTTCCTGTCTACGGCCCTGTTTTCCCTCCACCGGACTCGTCCCCGGCCTGTCTCCCCCCTCGTTCCCCTCCTGTGTCACCTCCCCTGTCTCCTGACCCGACTCCTCCGTCGCACGTCTGGTCTCACCGTCCCTCCCGTGCTCGTCCTGCCTCGCCTGTCTTGCGCTCCCACCCTATGTTGCTTCGTTCCCACGCGTCTCGTCCTCCCCTTCTGCCGTCGCCTCCTCCGTCCTCCCTTGTTGTTGCACCCCCCCC